TAATCAGATTCGACTTTTCGTGGGTGATTTTCTCCCCTCGTGACGACTATCACACTGGGTTCTATTCACACTGGACATTAATCTTATTCGAGTTGTTGCCAGGCAACCACATTTGAATTCCCGACTCAACTGAAAAAGGAAGACGCAGGCGTTGTGGATTCGAATTCTCGAGTGAAGCGCTCAACGTTCGGCTACATAACAGGCCTATCAAAGCCCTGAATGCTTTTTTACAAAATCTGAGTAGCATTGTCTTTTTTGATGATGCTAGTGACTATATCCCGCCGTCAGAGCCAAACAAAACAAATAGTCTGCTTTTTGTTGTGATTTCACCGGATTACAGAGAAAAATGTACAGTTTATATGTATTTAAATAAACATGGAAGTCAAAAATCATAAGGCAAAATCGGCTTAAGCATTTGTGTCTTCAGAAAACAGAATTGTTACGAGATAGAAATTTATGAACATTTCTTTTTCAGTCCTGATATCTTAATTTCGCAACACCTTCGCGATTATATATCAACACAATAAATCAATTACAACTTTTGGATTTATTATATAACCAAATAAAAATGATTTTATTAACATATATGTACACGAAAGCCGACCTTCCTCCACCCCATTTCTTTTGGAAAGATTTTAGTTTTGGACGAAGTAGGGGCGATCGTGAAATCATGTACAAGGCAGTGGCGGATCCAGGGGAGCCCCTGCCCCCCCCTCCCCCCCTTATTTTTGGACCCAACTGAGTCCCCGAAGGGCCGAAGTAACTTTTTTTTTTAAGACTGTCCCCGGCTTATCTCAGGGTCTGGATGACCGGCCCCCCTCCCTTATCTAAAGGTCTGGATCCGCCACTGCAAGGTGTGCTTCAACCAATGCCCCGACCATTTCGTAATGCTCAAGAACAGCAACAATATCAGAAACTACTGCAGTATTTGATCTTCTCCTGAAAATGTTGTTAAAATTGCAGAACGCTTGCTTGTATCATGTCAGATAAGAATAAAGGTAATATGAAAAGTGGCTTTTTTGGGTTCTTAAAATTTCATATTTACCCGGCCAATTTGCATGAATTATGACCCATGATTGAGAGTATCGTAAGAGTATTGTGTAACTTGAAAAGTCATTATCGCCTTCTCTTTGTTTTAAGTCAATACATTCGCACTGGGTTGTGCATTTCAAAGCCTGTAATGACTCTCTTTAACCTTTTTGATGAACCAAATGATATTTGTCCATTTGATTTCCCCGCATTTACAAGAAAGTATTTCTGGCTGACAAAGAACAGACTGAAGGGAACTTGAGCTAAATGGCACGCTCAAAGAAGTGAAAGACGAATAAGCTGATCTGGAGATCAAGAAGGAAAAAGCCGATTTAATGTTGTCTTTGGATCACAAGGTATATTTTTTCTTATACATTTATTCGCACTAAGGATTTATTAAGTGAGCGGGCGACGTAACCTATCATAAGTTTTCTTTGGGAGATTTAAGCAGACTGCAGTAGAAACCCAACACCTTAATCTTGAGAAGTCGCGTTTCCCTTTAGACTTAAAGTGCAGATTTTCAGAGAAAAGGAACCTAAAGTTGCCAAGCAACCTCAACATTATCATCAACATCACTACTACCACCACTACCACCACCACCACCATCATCATCATCATCATCATCATCATCATCATCATCATCATCACCATCACCATCACCATCATCATCATCATCATCATCACCATCATCATCATCATCATCATCATCACCATCATCATCATCATCATCATCACCACCACCATCATCATCATCATCATCACCACCACCACCATCATCATCATCATCATCATCATCATCATCATCATCATCATCATCATCATCATCACCATCATCATCATCATCATCTTATTAATAAAGTGATCATCGCCATCATTCTTAACATCTCGTTGAAAGAGTTTTTTCATCATTTAATACCAGCGAGGAACTACTCAAATCGATGCAATTCCATCCATGATGCAGTGACATGGAAGAATAATTCAATTAGGACTTCACACTGGTTATTGCAAGAAAATAGCCCCTTCTTTTCGACGCATAGAAACCAGTCAGTTGTGCAACGAAACGTTGGCTTTTCTCAAACTAATTTTTATTACTTTCAGAGTAATACTTAAAATTATTCATTTTCTTAATAATAGCCTGAGCTAGGACTGTCTATCATGGCCCTGTGAACAACGAATTGAAACCACACGTGTTTGGAAGGGATTTTAAACGTGTGTCAGAGCATAATGGTAGTTGTTTCTTAATCTGCATATCTGATCTATTAAGTAGGTAACACAGCATCTCAGTTTAAGATTAAAAACGTTTAATACATTGTTATTACGAAGTAAGTGTAACACCAGTAACTTTCATCGCGACAACTAGTAAACGACGAAAATTTTAAAACCTCTAAACTGGAAAAGAATACGTACTACAAATACAACTAAACTAACCGATTATACGATGACTCTGCAACAGTTACCGATTCTTTTTAGGACCGCCCTCCTTTTTATAGTTGAGGCCACCAGAGGTCCAAGCATTTTTCTTTAAAGAATTTCAAAGTCCAAAAATCCTAGTCAACTATACTATTTATTTTAATATATTATTACCGCACAATCTATTTGTTGGAGAAGTTATTTCACAAACGCGTGCTTAAGGTTTCACTGGCTTCCATAGACTTTAAATTAAAAAAAAAAAAAGCGCTCGGCCTCTGTTTTTCTCTTGTCTGGAAACCCACAAAACACTCACGTTCGTTTTTGAACTACTAAGTTAAACATGTTAGAATGATTTTGAAAAGATCAAAAGTTTCTTTTTCATTTCACTTTTTCTTTCGGGAACAAAAAAAATCTAATAGAGGGATTTTTCTAGTCAATAAGAGAGATTATCAAATAGCAAAACCATATGCAGCGAAATTTCTAATGTATTCTTAACTTTTTTGACTCCTACGAGTAGTGTGGAAACGTAGCCTGAAAATAACACCAATAGAGACCTTAAAATTGAGTTTTTTCCGGATTTCCCGCGAATCGCGAGCGTCAAGAAGTCACGTGACCCGGGCCTTGCCGTCAGGTTTACGTTTACCGCATACCTGTTTACCGTGATTTACCGCCAGGTTTTTTTCACCCCTAAAAATCACAATCCCACGTTTGAGAAGAAAGACGACTTTTTAGAACTGTTGCTTATTGATTATCGAATTCTATTAATTAAAAGAACGTAATTTTGAAGTCAATTTTTCAGCTAAAATAGAACTAAGTGGATGAATGAAAACAAACATGGCAGTCTCGAGTTACCACCCGTGAATCTTAAATCCCAAATATGGACAGACGGGTAACGGGAAACTGTTAACTGCAGTTTGCAGTAAAATGACCAAAACTCGATCTTAAGGTGTCTAATATCTAATTTAAAACCGAGCCGTTTGCCCTCTAAGAATCTTAAACGCCTGTTGTCGACAGAGGCCCTAATGCGTAAACCCTGATAGAATTACATGTAATTACAACTTAGCAATATAAATTACAGTCAGAAAACGATAAAGAGTTGCAAAAAATAAACGCCCGAATCCGAAACTTTAGGGTACGTTCGACTGACCATATTCCAGAATAAAACTCCAGAAAACTGCTTTATATGCCTTTTGTCGGGATTTAGGGGTTATTAGAATGGTACTCAGATGTAATTAGCCTGGAGCCCGGTGGGGTATTTACTTGTTTGACCTGTACAAGTACGTGCCGCTGGAGAGTTTTGCTTCCTCTGTCTTGAACAGGTTAATATACAATTTAATGCGAGCCTATCCTAAACTGGGTCTAATTAGTCGTAAAGAAACTCATTAATTTGGAATTGTTCGCAATTTTTTCGTATTTCCACGCACCTGCACTACCTCATATAGCTCTTGAAGAAGCTTTCAGTTTGCGGTTTTTTTTAATACATGTGGCGTGTAACTTTCAATAGGCTTACTAAGACAAATTCAGCCGATGAGGTTTGTAGATTCTTACTTTATTTTCTTCTTTGCTTTAGTCTATGCATAATTTCGGCTCGCGTTTGTCGTGCATCTGCCTTTTAAAGGTTCAATCCCTACTCCCTCCGATGCATATGTGTTCTCAAGGTGCCCCAGTTATTAAGTCGAAAGGTGAGGGGGTGGTCTAATTTTCAATGCATTAGCAGTAGCAGCAGCAGGTTGAAAACTTGTGAGACCCATACACTGCTAGTTTTTGTCTATTTGGCCTCTACCAAATAGGAAAATGGGGTCACACGACTCGCCACGCCCAGAAAAGCTTTTAACTAAAATGGTCTCACTTTTTCTTGTTTCCTTAACTTTTGTACTAGTTTCATGATTTTAAGGCTGTTAGGCATGTCATTTCCGCGCTTGGCAATGTCAAGATTATTTAAAGGAAAGGCACGTTATAATGATACACCTGTATTGAGAGACTGGGTACTAGTCAGAAAACCCGTTTATTTTCAGAATAAAGTAAATATTTCAAAGTTGCCAAGCGCAGTTTTGTAGCGGCTTGTATTTTGTATTTTCTTGTACATGTGTGACTTAATCTGCATAGTAATTGTGTGCACTGAATTATAATTTTTTATGGTTTGTAATATTTTTTGGTATGTTTTTCTTCATGAGGAACAGTTCATGTTATAGACCACCAACTTCATTTTTACGGGAATTTGGCTGTTGACCCACGCCTTAATTTACTTGAGTTGTTGGCACGATGAATCTGATGGTGAATTTACCAGGAAATAAACTTGAAAACATACCATTCACCTGCTCTTTACAGCTTTCCTTCGTTTTCCTAAGAGCAAGTAATTCCTAAACAAAGGATTTCTAACTAAAATATTCCTCTTCTTCCGGAATGGAGTCAATTGAACGCGCCCTTACTATGAAGGATTGTAAAGATAAAGTGAAAATAATCTATCAAGGCGAGCATTAAGACAATCAGTATCTTTTCACCCATGAAATAAAAAAAAAAGAGCTTGCTGGTTTTCGGTCGTATTAATACTCCCGGTGGAATTAAGCAAGCACTTCATAGAATACCTCTAACTCATCTGGGCAGAAGGTATTGCTTCCAGTCCACATATTACAGGAACAATAGGAATAAGGACTTGTATACGTATGGCAGCCACAATGAAAGTGAGAGTTATAATTGTATCCTGCGTTGTCTGCAATGTAGATTTCATGTCCTCCGCCAAAGGTTGGACCATAGCTATAGTAACTGTATGTGGCATACTGATAGTTGTTGTTCACATCATTTTTAAAGTATCCATACCCGTAATTGTTTCGCAGCGCGTAAAGGACGTGTTGGTCGAATACTGCCACCCAGAAGACCCTGAAAAGAGACAAACAAAATTAAAATTCCAAGCAAAACATTAACACGTCTTTTAGTGCTAAGACACTTTAGGTGCATATTTACTAAAAGTGTCCGTGAAAGCTGTGTCATTTTTAATACAGTCTCTAGATGGTATGAAATCGAGTTATATCCACTTTGTTTTTTTGAATTATGATATACGTCCTCTGCTTGAAATTAATTTGTAGAGTTCTGTTGAGCAATTCAGTTAAAACAGAGTAAAAGTACATGAAATGACTCAAAATTTTGATTTGTGGATAAATATATGAAAGGGAAATTGATCCTTGCAGTTAAATGAGCAACCTACGCCGTTAAAAACGAGAACCTGAAATGCACCTTCCAATGACACTTTCTAATAAAACGCTCTCTTGGTAGCAAAATTTCCTTAGGGAATGCAAAAATGACCGTGCATGCAGCAGAATGAATACAGAAACACCAAATAAATCGCCAATAACCTGCTTGAAACTTGTTGTAAAAAATCTGAAAGCAATTAGAACTTACTGCATCGAAGTTAACAGCAGACCCCTCCTTGTATAATGTTGAAAGATCTTTATTGAAAAAGGCGAAAACGCAATTGAACATCTTCTTCATCGTATTCCTCAAAAAGGGTAAAATATGTCCGAATGTCTTCGTAATTTGTTGAACATGTATTTTACGTCGATTGGCGTAGTCTCTTTTTCTCTTAACTCTCTTAATTCTCTGTTGCGCAGTAGTCCGTCTATTTCAGGTCATTTCAAAATAATGATCATAAAAGCACACCTGTCAGCAGGTTTAACGTTTTATCGTTCTTTTGTCGGCATTTAGACACGGTCCAAGGTTAAGTAATCGGTCCCTCGAGTTTCGAAACAAAAGCCTGACTTCGAATAATAATAATAATAGTAGTAGTAGTAGCTACAACAAGGCAAGGGCGAGAGACTTCTAGAAAAATAAGGTTGATGAAGGGACTACCCCAGGGGGACGCTTTGTGTCCTAGACTGTTTACACTGTGCCTGAACCCAGTAGCGTGGCGCCTGCGGGCAACAGAGGGATACCGATTATCCAAGCCTATAGGAGTCAAAGTCACCGATCTCCTGTATATCGACGACCTGAGGGTTTTTGCTGCCTCCGAGAGCAAGCTGAACCGAGTGCTGAAAGAGACTAGAGGAGCGATGCAGGACATCGGCCTGCACTGGAATCAGAAAAAGTGCTCAGTGGTACACGTGAAGAGGGGAGCCCAAGTGCTAGACGACTCTGGTATGAGGATGGACGAGACAACTACCATCACGGCTCTTGGGGAAGGAAAACTCTACAAATCCCTGGGGGTGCTAGAGAACGTTCGACAGGATGAACGGCTGGCCCTGGCGTGTGCGGCTAAAGAGTATCTACGCAGGATATCTATTGTATGGTCCAGCCCCCTGTCTTATTGTAACCGTGTGCAGGCAACTAATCAGTATGCACTCCCGGTCCTGCGGTACTTAATGTGGACACAGCATTGGCCTCTATCAGAGTTGAGAGATGTGGACAGAGCAGCTCGGAAGATCATAGTTGAGAACGGTGGCAAGCACCCAGCTAGCCTAACTTCTTTGTTATATCTACCGAGGGAGAAAGGGGGTAGAGGCCTGCGATCAGTCGAACACGAGTACAAGATCACTAAAATCAAATCGCTACTGAAATTGTATCAGAACTCGGACCAGACTGTGGAAGCAGTTACAGAATTTGAAGAACACGCCATGGCATCAGGCCACCAGTCGCTCGTAAAGGAAGCAGCTAAGTACGCTGAAGAACTCTACATTACACTTCAGCTTGATACCCTAAATCCCGTGTGTGTTACAACTGAAGGAAAGGTGGTAACTGCAGCAAGAGCTGGGAATCTGTTGAAGCAATCTCAAGAGAAGCAGTTCTTGGAGATCGCTAAGGACAAAAAGTGGCAAGGAAAGTTATTCCGTATCAGATGGGAAGATGAGAACCTAAGCATAACCAGCTGCTTTGCATGGTTAAAAGGTTGGGCTACATGCCCTACATATACCATCGCGGGCATGTATGAATTGCATGAGCAGTTGTTACCTACGAAGCTCTACACAAAGGAGAAGGCGCAAACCTCCAACGACAGCGAAGTCCTATGCAGATTATGTGGGAAGGTAGCTGAGAGCGTTGCACATGTTTTGGCTGGATGTTCCTCCCTGGCACAAACCAAGTACCTATACAGGCATAATGCAGCTTTGAAGATTCTGTTTTTTGAGCTCCTGCGAGAGCATGGGCTAATAGAAGAGGTTCCACCATGGTACTCACCGGTGATGCCAAAACCAGCCTACCAGAACACCACGAGTGAGGCGTTTTGGGATATTCCCATCTATGCAGAGCACAACGAAGTTAGAGCAAATCAGATCGACGCGCGACTTGTCAGCCACGAGAGGAAAGAAGTCTGCACAATTGAAATGAGTTGCCCATGGATTGAGAATAGAGCTAAGAAAGATGAGGAAAAGACACTCAAGTATGGGCCCATGATGTGGGAGCTGAAGCAGAGATACAATGGTTACAGGGTTAAATAGTACAACGTAATAATTGACGTACTGGGTCGTTACTCTTAACACCTAGAGAAGTCGGTGAGGAAGCTACTTGGAGCGAGAGCACGGAGCGTACTTGAGCGGATGCAGAATTCGGTCATCTCAAACACTTTAAACACTGCCAGCACATTTAAGATAAATACTTAGTCAGGGCGCTAAGGACTCCAGTTTTTAGGTTTTTGTTTTTTCGCTAGAAATCTAGAAACACAAGCTTGCTGATGTTTTTATTGAGATTTTTTTAGAGCATTAGAGTTTTACAGAGTATAAGAAATTAATAATATTTTAAATTGGCAGAGTGGTTCATATCATTATGTATATTAGGTTTCGTACCGACCTTTTTTTACTTCTAAGTATAGCTTCTCAAGTGGTGTAGGTTACGCTATGCGCTTCACACTACTCATAATAAGCTGAGCGGTTAGATATCTATAGGAATTTTGGACACCTATTTTAACAGATGCTTACTCTTGTACATTATCGAAATTTTATTGACATACCTTAGACGCTCTCATTATTTAATGGACAGCGATATGAACGATGAGTTTTAACTTATGAACATTTTTATTTTATAATTAAGACGTCCATAAAGCTTGTAGGATTTTTTTATTGTTTTAATTTTTTTTAATGACACTTTTATCAAATCATTTCTACCCAGTTTATTCATTTGTTTATTTTTTTTTGCGCAAATTATTGTGTTATCATTACTACAAATTTTAGTCAATGCTTCGGCTGGTTACGGTTTGCCGCCTAGCCAAAGCTTTAATTTTTTACTCTGGGCATCCAGAAGTTTTTGCTGCCATAATAATAATTTACATTTATAGAGCGCAAACCTCTATATGAATACATTCGGTTGCGCTTTACAACATTGTTATATTAAATTTAAATTTAATATAATATAATTAATTACCCTTGTAAAGTTTTTACTGAATTTACCCGAGAATTATATGAGACCTAGAACACATCCGGGTGCGCGTTAATCATTGAATTAGTTAGCCGCTTTTTGTTGCGCAAACAAGCGCAACAATATACTAAAAAAAACTTTCTCTGTACCACTAATCAGATGAGGCCACAAAAACAATCAATTACTGAAAAAAAAGTACTATAAAACCATTATTTAGAAAAAGGAATGATGTTAGCTGTTGCCGAAGAAAGGAGGATGCCACTACCCTTCCTTACTCGCTCTAGGTTAAACGCACTGTTTTTAACCAATCAGAGTGTCATTGTGTCTTGCTCAAGGTATTGGGCAAGATCGCACCAGCCCTACTCATCACCCCTTACACACTCGGGGTTTAATGGCCATAATTTCAAACAGTAACACCCCTCTTAGTGTCTTTTTAGTTTAGCAGACTTACATTGCCACGAATTGTCGTTGTAACCCCCAAATATATAGCTCCCAACTCTTACAATGGTTACAGTGGGTCCCTTGTTATCACAATAACTGTGAAAGGTCTGCGAGCTCCAACCGTGACTAGTGGCTCTATAACACAGTTTCCAGTAACTTCTGTCCGAACTTTGTAAATGGGGAAGAAGCCAGGTATTTAACTGTGATATCCTGCCGACGTCATTCGATAAAATGACTGAGTTATCGAGGCCACCTGAAAGAAAAGCAAACCAAAATCTGTCCTTTAGTTGCTTTAATTATTTTTTTGCTCTTTTTGACCAAACTAGTCCTAAACGCAAAGAAACAAAGACCTGACAACTGCATGTTGGCAACCGCCACATCTTCCCAAGACTTTACAACGGCCACCTCTCCAAAGCAGCAAAGGCCACTAAAGCGCGCGTACCAATTGCCAAAGCTCACCACAACTCACTGGACCTTTCTATTGAAATTTATCCAAGGACAAAATAGTGCCTAAAGCAAATGACTTATCATAGGAGCTGTGTCAAGAAACTCTTTAAAATTCAGACAATGGGAACTCCCACCAAATTGAGTGGAACTTAAAAGTAACAACTCAAAACGTTCAAACAAGGAATAATAACACTGCAAATACAAAAGAGGCTCAGATAGACAAACTTGAAGAATGAGACAGATTGAACTTGTGGTGTTGGAAAACTTTTTAGCCCAACAATTTTTCTTTTTTTCCAATGTTGCCTAGAAACAAAAATGCGCCGTGACGTCAAACTACTGTATGACGTCATGGCAGACACCATCGGATATATACAAGTAAAGGTGAGAGCTGCGACTTTGCAGCTCGCTAGGACCCACAGGCAGTTCACGCTCTGCGCGCGCGCTTCGCGCGCGACGAGATTATAAACTCACTTCGCGAGGAATTATCCAATTGAAAAAGGTTAGCTTACGGTGGGCAGTGCAAGTCTTTCCATCCCCATAGTAATGAGCATTCCCATTGCACTTGCAAGTAAACGACCCGGCTGTATTGGTGCAGATTGCATTTGCGACACAGTCGTGAGTGTTGAGTGAGCATTCATCCACGTCTGAAATTAAAGATTATTACCATTCCTTAATGAAGGAGTAAAAGGATAAAATTAAAGAAAAAAAGGAGAAAAAAAGAGGTCAGAATGAGTCAGAACTGGAACTGAAGGATACTTGTATTTTTAGTAAAGTGATATCATCATGCAATTGTCCTATTGCAACGACAAAAAGCGTATGCTAGTAATTCTTTCACTTATGTTCATTGAATCAGCCTGTATTGAGAGTTTCATTCTTAATTATAATTGTTCTGTTTTCGTACTTTCTTACGGGGGAATACAACTCTTATAAAGCGAAGGCAACGCCATTCCGAATACTAGCAGTCCGGAACGTGATCCTCCGACTGCAGGGAAAATCTATCGCGAGTGTTATCCTTAAAGTTAGTTGGATAATTCCGGTTACCAAGGTGTGTCCATCTCCATGTATCATAGGGGAGCAAGATTCCGTCCATGTACTGAACTTGAACTTTGTTTTCAAGCTGGCTGGGGAAATTGAAGTTGAACGTTTTTTTTTTTTAGTGCAATGACTTTTAGAGTGGATAACTCTGAAATACAAAAATTAAAAAAAGACCAAAATTCGTGTTCCCTTCCTTTTGTGAAAGATTTATTTGTGAAACCTGTGCATTTGATCAAGTACCGGTAGTATATTTACCATAGCAGGTTCGTCCATCTCCTGAGTAGCCGCTGACACAGGTGCATGTGTAAGATCCATCTGTATTATGGCAAGTTGCACTGCTGTCACACTGATGACCTGCAGAACACTCGTCCACATCTTAAAAGTCAAGGAAAAGAAAAAGTCCTAACACTAACACAATACAGGGACTCGTACTGCCATCTACAACTTACAAACACCAATTCCATTGATATTAATAATGATAATAATAAAATCATTATTTAATAGTCATAAAAAAGACCTATGTACAGTGCTTCACTTAAAAGGAATTAAACGAAATTTGTATCTTAACATCTCTTAGAAAGTAAAGAAAAGATCATAATGTCTCAATATCTCTTGAAATATAATCCACGACAACGTTTCTCTACTAATTATTATAAATTGCTATTACTATTAGCAATCACTACCGATATTTAACATCTTTTCACCAATTCCTCTTTAAAGTCTGGCACGATTTCAACATGAACCAACAACGATAAGAATATTAAATAGTAGTAATAACTAAATATGCAATATTCAATATCTTTTCTCTAAATCAAAATCTAGCGTCCTAAAAGTCCTCTTTCGACGTCAAAGTCCATCTCTTTTAGGTTGGGATTTACTCTCCTCATTGAACGCGATCACTTAAGCATAGGAGAGATATTCTCAGAATGGCAAATGAGATTCTTGTTCTTATCCAAGACATCGTAGTCGAGTAGTCCTCGCCTTTCTTGGCTGACAGGAGTTCCGCTAGTCGCTTGTGATAGACTTGACATTCGGGTGCCATGCCACCTGTAGTGGTGAACACCAGCGGCGTGAACGTGGCTTGTTCCACCTCCATAACTCAGCTTGCGTACATACGTTTCTTCTCGTTTTCATGCTGGCGATATATTTGCTGAGGGGGGAGGTCCTTGTAAGATTCCGCATTTGGGTGGCACACCCGTATGTCAAAGATTGTGGAACCCTGTTTAGACCAACAACCCCGTGCATGAATGTCAAGCCGGTCATCGGGGGCTGTATTAGCCCCCCTGACTAACGACTCGCCGGTAATCTCCTGCACAACAGGTTTCATTTCAACATCATGAGAGACCAGGTTAAGCATATGCGCCTCAAGATCCCGCAGCTCGATATGGCGTTGTATAATGAAGCCCCCGCGTTTACCAATCATTGCATGATCGACATTAAAGGGCTCTCCACAGACACATACATTTGGTACATCACCTGTCTGCCAGTCATACCTTAGATGAACTGCATCTTTAAATTCTCTCTTGTTGAGATTTAAGTCCATTTCCTTTACCGGGATGACAGTTAGCCAACTTGAATCAACTTTCTCTGCTGCGAGATCGACCGCTCTCTTGGTTTTTTTGGGTAGAGAGTTCCTCAGGTCTGCTAATTTGTCGTCCAGTCTCACATCTCTCTCCCTAGACGTGGTTAACTGCAAAGATCTTATCAGAGCATCATCTGGAGGTTCATGCGCCTGGGATACGATTTGCGCGACAAGAGGGGCGGTTACCTGAAGACACATTGGGTGTTCGAATCTAGCTCGCTCAACTGGGTTTTCTAGTCCTAGACCCCCCTTCCTCACTAGTAGTGCCAGCAGTTCTCGCTCACTCGTTGTGCGGGTATGGCCCGTAATTGATGGTATTAGGACATCACTAATAGCGCGTTCCAGTGGTTCTGGCAGTTCCTCAATATCAGACAATGTTCTTAGGTAGTACGTCCATTTAAGCTTCAAACCGAAGGTATATGCCGCAAAGCAGGCTTGTGGTTGAGTTGCTGCAAACTCTGTCAGTTTCACTACCTGGCCAACCCAATCGTTCACCTTTTCACTTACATACTCCTCAAGATAAGATCTTGACCCGAGTGCTGCTCCTAAACGCTTTTGACCCTGAGTGGAGATGTTAATTGATGTTTGACCAAAACTGAAGATCCCTCGCTGCCTCTTCTTTCTCGGGCTTCGCCATAAGACAGCACTTTTTCGCATTGGGAAAATATCCCAAGCTCGGTCCCGATTCGTTTAGTACATCCCACCATTTCTTCAGTTCCCCAAAGCAACCAGCACCGGTGGCGTCATCCGCGAACCAACACTGCTTTGCGAACGTAGAGGCATTGAAGCGTGTTATTAAAGGCTGAAGACTTACTGCGTAGAGACACATAGCAAGGCGGTCCCCCTAGGTTGTACCTTCTTCTGATCTAAGTTCCTTTCCCCCAATGATAAACAGACGTGCCGGTTCTCTATAGGTGTTAATTGCGTAAGTGGCTATTGTAGGGCATAATATCCTCACGTTATGCAGAGCAGCAGCCCTGTTCAAGGAGTTGAACTCATAAGGAGGCATCAATCGGTAAGACAGCGTCTGTATTGTCGGCTTCAAATACCGTTATGCATCGCGTGAATCGCTGCTTCACTTCCACTCTTAGATTCTGCGCAGACTTGCAGTGAACAGCTGGCCTCAATAATATCTTGCTTGGTCAACTTTGTTACACATTTTCCAATGACTCTCCTGATAACCTCTCCTACACCAATCGGCCTAACGTCCCCTTAGCCTTTATCAAATGGAATCAACTGACTAGCCAAAATTGGCTCAATAGTAAGGGGATCAACAAACTCTTTACACAGTCGTCTTGCTAGAGTAGTCAAGGAGTCACAAAGGTTCATGCTGGACTTCTTAAAAGACTTGCAGGCCAGCATTCTCTTGAACCCGTTCGCATCCCCGCCCGAGGGCCCACAAGAGCCTTTAGTTCTTAATGCTGCTTCTCGCACCATCTCTCCGTTTATTTGCTGATATAGGACGGCCGGAACATCCTCCACTGGCCCGAATAACACAGAGCCCAATTTAGCTTGTGCCTCTGGGCCCAGTTGTTCGAAGGCCGATTAGCCCTTAACCC